TTTTGGACTGTATAACTAATATTTACGCTTCTGCTTACGTTTTGACTATCTTTTGACGATGCTTGATGATTTTAACGTATTATCATATTTTGATAAACTTTTCAGAAAATTAAGCTTTTAAATAACCGGACGTTTTTAATAAGTTAAAACAACGGTTTTTCTAAAAGTTAAGTAAAGATTTTCACGGTGGCACCCCAAATCAGTTTCGCAAAGTAAAAACGTTTTAGTTTCACAGACTTTGCGAATAAATGCGCTACTCTGATTTACTAGTAAGGTGGGGTGCTACATCACATTTAACACAAATAATTATGACATCTATACAAGTTCTCAATTACACAAATCATTTACCACATCTTTTAACATTTTATCAATTCCTAATCTATATAATCCGACTAATTTCATTTTTTTCACCATATCAAAATGTCGCTCGTGTAGTGTTTTTTAATTCGGTTTCTCGAAAAACAAGCTATACTTGAATTATATATATTTACATCTTCATTATTGTAATTTATTTCCAACTACTTGGCTTCGAATTCTCTTTCAAATATACGAACAACCCTCAATGTGGGTTTTTTGGATTTCTGCCATCGCAATTTTCCAACTTTTGAAAACTGCCATTACAATTCGTCTTATACGAAGTTTGCCATTACAAATTTATGTGTACCCAGTTCTTGCCACTATATACGTATACCACCAGCTTTGGTACGTATACCACCAGCTTGGCCCATTGTCAGAACGATGGACGCATAGGCAAATGTCCTTAGTGGACATCGATGCCCTTCCGTGCGACTTAGAAGCTGCCGCTGCCGCTCTCTGTTCCCCTCCCGTCTCTCCGTTCCCCTACTTTCTTCTCCATCTCTGTTCCCTGCTCCAAGAACACTAACCCTAGAATCCAGCCATGCCTCCACCCTCTGCTGCCGACGTTGGAGCCCACCTCTACGCATCACGGGCAAGAAGAACCCTAGCCTTGTGGACACCGGAGGTGATAGAGACGCCTTAATGGTAGGAAGCGCAGCTTCGCACCTCCGTGCGCGTCCACTGCTATAGTGGCGATGGAGGACAGTAGTAGCAGGTACCAAATCTTCGCCCTTCTTCTTCGCTTGCTCATCAAATTTGGCGATTAGGCGTCTGATTTGCTTGCTATGCATGTATGCACTTTAATTTGGGAATGGATTTTTTTGCTTGTTAGGGATGGGATGTTTGTGCTAGAGGTTAAAGTCGAAGGTTTCACTTCAAAAGACTTGAGTGGTAAGAAATCATACACAAAAGGCCAAGTGTTTAAGTGGGATGTTGAGTTTAGGTCACTAACCCTTGACTTGCTGTTGATATCATTTCATTTAGGAAAGCAATAAGACATTATGCTGTGAAGAAAGGGTTTGAGTTTGCTACTGCTGGTTACAAATCTGACAAGTCAAGGTTCATAGCTAAGTGTGCTTTTGAGGGATGCCCTTGGCGTATACATGCTTCCACCATTTTTGATAAGAAAACTGTACAGGTATATTTTTACATTATTTTTTAATTGTTTCTTTTGGATTTTTTATGTATATTAATGTTTCTTTTGGGTTTATGATTTAGTTAATAATCTCTGTTATCCTATGCTATTGTAGATCAAAGTGTTGCCTGCAGAACACAATTGTCCTACCACCAAGCTAAGAGTAGAAAAAATGGCGAGTCAGGGATGGTGTGCAGATAGGCTAGGAGGTTGGGTTAAGAAGCACCCAACAGGTAGAGCAAAGGAGGCAATGGACAAATTGGAGTCTGATTATGGAATTAAACTGAAATACTCAAAAGCTTGGTCTGGTTTGAAGGTAGCCTTGGATGAAATACATGGTAAGTATGAGGAAAGCTTTCAACTTCTTTTCAACTGGGCGGCACAATTTCAAATAAGTTCTCCAGGAAGTAGAGTACAGATTGAGTTAGAGAAGGTTGGTAAGAAGAATAGGTTCAAAAGGATTTCTGTTGCTTTGAAGCCATGCATTGATGGATTCCTAGCTGGTTGTAGACCCTTTGTAGGAGTAGATGCTTCTTTCTTGAATGGAAAGTACACCGGACAGTTGGCTTCTGCCACAGGTGTAGATGGGCACAACTGGTTGTATCATATTGCATATGGTGTGTTTCACTTAGAGACTGTGGACAACTGGAAGTGGTTCCTAGAGAATTTGCACAGTGCCATAGGGGACCCTCCAGGACTTGTGATATGTTCAGATGCTTGTAAAGGGTTAGAGAAAGCTGTGGGGGCTGTTTTCCCACAAGTTGAAAACAGGGAGTGCACTAGGCACATGTACAACAACTTTATAAAATACTACTCTGGGGATGTTTTTAGTGACCATCTGTACCCTGCTGCAAGGAGCTACACAGATTACATGTTCAAGTGGCATATGTAGAGAATTTATGAGTATGCTCCAGATGCTATTAAGTACCTTCAGGACTATCATCCTAGGATATGGTACAGATCTGCCTTTTCTAAGCAAAGTAAATGTGATTATTTAACTAATAATGTCTCTGAGAGCTTCAATGCTCAGATCAAGGACTTCAAAGGACTTCATCTCCATGAGTTAGTTGACAGGATAAGAGAGTTGATAATGGAGAAAAGGTATTTAAGAAAGAAGATAGCACAAAAATGGAGAGATGGAATCCTTCCTGGAGTCATGAAGGACTTGAACCTTAAAAGCAACAATCTCAAAGTTGTGAAGGTTACAGTCAGTGATGATGATTTTGCAGAGGTGACACTGCTAGATGACTGGAACAAACAGAGAAGGCACACAGTTGATCTTAAAAACCAGAAAATTGTGGGTGCAGGGAATGGCAAGTAATGGGCAAGCCATGCAAGCATGCTTTGGCATGGATACTATCCAACAGAGGCATGAAGATAGATGATTTTGTGCATGATTATTACTCAGTTGCTAGGTTCATAGCAGCCTATGAGGATAGAGTTGAACCAATGCCAGATCGGTCCTAGTGGCCAGAAATCGATCTTGGATACAAGGTTTACCCACCTTTGCTAGGAAGAGCTGCAGGTAAGCCTAAGGTTCAAAGGCAAAGAGCAAGAGCAAAATCCCAACAAAAAGAAAGTGAGATGCAAATGGTGTGGAGGTTTTGGACACTTCAGCAAAACATGCAAACGTGAGATGGCTGAAGAGGATGGTGAAACTGCTACAACAAATAAAAGGTTAATTGTACTACACTTTAATTTTAGTTGAATTATGGTTACCTGTACTTCGAATTATTTGCAGTAATTTTTTTTTTCCTTTTTTTTCCTTTCTTTTGGCTCAGAATTATTTGCAGTAATTAACTAATGGAAAATGCATGTACATGAAGAGGACAGATTGCAACCTTGAAGAAGCTGGATCATCCAAAGGGAAGAAAAAGAAGGCACCAAAGAAGAAGGAAACTCCTAAGAAGAAAAAAACACCCTTGAAGAAGAAGCAGAAGAGGGATGTTGCTGCTCCTCCACCAAAGGTCGTCAGAAGCTTGATGGACCTAATTTCTGGTCATGGACAATGAACCTGATGGCAAATGTGAAGCTATTTTGCGAGCTTTTGCTTGTGTTATGGTCTGTGAAGTCCTAGATAGTTGTGAACTAAACTATTGCCTATCATGGCCTGTGACCTGTAATGCTTGTAAACTTGAACAAGCTATTTTACTTATTTTCTGGATGTCTGTAATGCTTGTGAACTTAAACAAGCTTATTGCTTTTGTGAAGCAATGGTACTGTCAATTTAAAATAGAATTGTGGTATTGTCAAGATGTGCTGTTTCAGTTTGTGAAGCAATGCTATGTTATTTCTCGAATATTTTTGTGATCATGAAATTGTGTTAAAATTCTTTCAAAATTCAATTGAAATTCTGTCCAAATTCAAGTAAAATTCTGTCAAAAATTTTTCCCAGGAAACACCTTCATTGGAAAGGATTAGATGTCATTACAACACATGCTTAACTTGCTAATAAGCACTGCAACATCTATGCATATCTTACAAACACAGACACACGTAGTTCACTTCCACGTACAGGGCTACAGGCAACTAGCTTCATCGGGCTCCCTGATGCTAGCATACACACACACAGACACACGTTGTCCCGTCGATATCGAGCTCTCTGATGCTAGCTTCATCGGGCTTCAAGTCCAGTGTTGTGG